ATACATTTACCTCACTTTGCTGCTAATTATGATAGCAGCTTTAAGCACATGTGCTACCACAGAATCTTCTTAGATTAAGGGATTTTAATTACAGTGAGCACTCATTAATTTTATTGGCGTCAATTTTCCCGCACAAGTTCAAATACTTTTGAAACACTCACAAGGGCCTTTAACCCTACAGCCATTTTCTCCCAAAAAATACATTGAATTTTTAAATGTTTTCCCCAAAACACTTTACCCCATTCAATTCCTCTCCTGGATTTCCATACCAATACTGAGGTAACAATGAAAATAAAAAAATATATTTTCAGAACCACTTTGTTCCTGTCTTTTATTCCAGACCACCATCCTCAGAGTTAAGCCTGCCTTTTATTACATTTTTTTGTAGATGTACCTACCCGGCCTTTGAAGGACCCGTCCTACGTGGACCAGGTGGGTCGGGTCCTTCGAAGATTGCTGCCCCTGAATTTGGAGAGCATTCGGCTACGTCCACACAAATACCCATGTACGTGTCTTCCATGTCTCATTCCAACACATTTACTGTATTATATAAAATATGTAAATTAAAAACTTATAGGAGAACATTTTCTATTTATTTTCTATTATTCATTTGATCCTGCCACTTATCTGTGTGCCTAGATGGGCCGTAAAAAGGTCACAAAGCTGAAAAAAAAGGCTTATTTTTGAGTTCACAAAAAAGCTTGTATACACAGATAAAGCCTATCACATTTAAGTCTTTTCACAGCGTATTAGTATATTTTACTTAAGCTTAATAATCTGCATAATGCTTTGATCTCTTCAACTAATTGGAATCACACCTTTCTACTAAAACTGTTTGTGTTGTTCGCCACCTTTTCCTGAACCAGACCCTGCAGGATTAGCCTGAGTGTCCAGTCCTGGACCGTGTTTTTAACCGGGAGGATCCCAGGCTGGATTGTTGTTGATGCATTATAAATACTCTTGTTTTAGAGTTATTGTTATTTACTTTCTTCTCATCAAATAAATATCCATGTAAAATTGTTCGTGTTATGTTCATACATGTTAAAAATGCCTGTAAATAAAAAGAGTTCAGTGACAATTACTGTTTGTTGTAATCAATTCATTAATATGGGGCGATCGTGGCTCAAGAGTTGGGAGTTCGCCTTGTAATCGGAAGGTTGCTGGTTCGAGCCCCGGCTCGGACAGTCTCGGTCGTTGTGTCCTTGGGCAAGACGCTTCACCTACCGCCTACTGGTGGTGGTCAGAGGGCTCGGTGGCGCCAGTGTCCGGCAGCCTCGCCTCTGTCAGTGCGCCCCAGGGTGGCTGTGGCTACAACGTAGCTGCCATCACCAGTGTGTGAATGGGTGGATGACTGGATGTGTAAAGCTTTGGGGTCCTTAAGGACTAGTAAAGCGCTATATAAATACAGGCCATTTACCATATTCGTCTCCATCACCATAGTTTTGCCGTACCTTTGCTTTTTGTAGTTGATTTGGGGGGGTTAATGGGCTTGGGGTGTGTGGTGTCGCACTGACCTGGATGGGGTCTGGTAGCTCTTGGGTGGTGTTTTTTTGGCAGCCTAATGTAGCAGGGCTTCAGGGGTGGGGGTCTGTGCCAGTGCTCGTTTCTCTTGCGTAGCCTCGTTGCTACAGCCTCCAGTGGCTTCGGCACCATGGCTGCTGGGCTCTCCTTTGCTCTTTTCTGAGTGGGTGCTGTGATTGCCCCTGTGGTGGTCCTCCTGAGGCTGTGGGGGGCTCTAGATGTGTGGGGCCTCCTCTATGCATGCTTCATGTCCTGGGGGGCAGGGCTGTGGCTCCCTGCAGCTACCTACTGTTAAAAACTCGAATGGAGAAACCTTATAAACACGAGCACTCACACCCACAGGTGTCTACACAGGTGTTTGAAATTGGTGTTAGAAGCTAAATAGTCAGTCACACTGACAACGAGGAAGTTTTTGATTTTTCTGGAGGGCTTCCCCTGATGTTTCCCCTCTTTCAGGAAATCACCAAATATCCTTCAAACTGATACGTTTACCTGCCGGACAGGTGTGACAGGGCAATGCTGAGCAGCCTCATTCTTCAGCTGTGAATCAGACAGAAGTGGTGGCTTTGTCCCAAAAAGTTGATTCTGTTCATCTGGACGTAACGTTTTCAGTGGGAGAAATGAGGGCGGAGTCAAGGAGGCCATTTACGTGAAAAAGGAAAGACCATCTCTGAATCGAGGAGGGGGCCTAAGGGTACATCTGTCACCATCTTACATGCTGTGAGCTTTGATCAGTGGTTGTTGATCAAAGGTCATGGAAATTTGCATATTCATGATGAGCTGACCTCTCAGCCCGTTGTTCTTTCACTGCGCTGGTTTCAGTCATTGTGCAAATGTCCTGTTTGTAAGGTTGGAAACCTGCAGTCAGATGAGACTGAAGAACTTGGATGAGTGACGAAATGTTTCCCCCACTGAAAACATCCAGATGAACAGAATCAACTTTTTGGGATTTACTTACCTGGATGATGCATCAAGGTGATGGCTTTGTCCAAACGGTTTCACGCTGACAGCCAGATGCTTAAGATTGTTCCGGGGTTTCATTGGTTCTCCAAACTAACATCAGTTTGGCTTTCAAAACTGCAAAGCTCCTTCCAACAACCGAACACAAGTCAAGTTTAGCATCTAAAGTGCAGACAACAGTCAGAACCTGTGCTCAAGTCAAATACCAGGAAAGGGACCCCTTCATTCACTGGAGTAAACCCCAACATACAAGCACTGAACCAGTCGATGCAAGTCTGTTCGAACTCAACCGGGGGTGAATTTCTATCAATAACAAAGAGCCAAGGATCAATCGGTCACACAAACTCTTCCACCAGGATAAGGTGGAGGAGTGATACATCAAGTAAAGTCTGCCTAAAGCTGAGTGCACTGCTGGTCAGTCTGCTAAGCAGCAAACATAGAGCCTGTGTTTCTGCTCCGTTCATCAATGTGTTTACTGTATCCATGCTGGCCTTTCTGTCTACCACGCGAGCTATGACAAAGCATCATTACCGCAGTGCAAATTCTGCCGAGTCCAGATGTAAAGCAGGCGATGAGAGAACTACAGCACTGTCCTCAAATCACAGATGCATTTCACATCTTTGCAAGGAGTTTCAAGAAGGCTTACGTCTGTTTGCTCTCAACATGCAACAGCGTGTTATGTGTGCAAACAGAGGGAATCATAAATATCAACAATGAATACACTGCAGCCCCCTTACCTCACACTGGAAGCTCCAACCATCTCACTTTGCTGATGAACACAGTGTACACGCCCAGAGTGAGAAAAGAGCCGCCTGTGGTCGTGGACGTTGTAGTATGGGCACAGGAGGCTATTCCAATGCTATGGGCTGCTTGGAGTGCACACCATGGAGCATTTTCAGACAACATCTGGGGACTGTGTGGACATAGAGGAATATACTGAGGGTGTGATGTTCGTTTATCAAATCAGGACTGCTTGGCAGTAAATGTCTTGTATTACAACCGGACAGAGTTCGACTCTGTTCTTTTGGCAGTTTCTGATCATACTAATCAGTCACGCTGAGTATGAGGATGCTTTTGGCAGCCTTGAAAACTTGCCATCTGAAGTTTTGTGCACTGATGTCTCTTTCTCAGTTAATCAGAGATCTCCTTCAAACTAAGCCAGGCAGTTTACCTGCAGTGCAGGTGTGACAACAACCTCGGCATGAGGAAGAACAATGCAGTTTCCATCCTGGTCACAGACACTGGATCAGTTAATTTTCCAGCCATCTATCCCTTCTCCTCCACTTATCCTTGTCAGGGTTGTGGGGGTGCTGGAGCCTTTCCCAGCTGAACTTTCAGTTTGATTGGATTTAGTTAGTTTGTATATTATTTAGCTGGAGTGTGTTCGTAATCAGATATGTGTGAGGTGTGTTAGAATAACTGAAGTATTTCACCGTATAGGTTTTTTGTAGCTGGGCCGTGTCGGGGGGAAGTCTTTTATTGGTGGTGGTATGACCGGCATCTATTTAAGGAGGTTTTTTGAGAGGCTGGGTTGTTCGTCTTTAGATGTGTCGCTGTTGAGAGTGTTAAACCTCTGTATTTGTTTAAGACAAACATATTCAGAGCTCTTAAAGGCGTTTGAAGGCTCGTGTGGTTGTTTTCTCCCATCTGGTCCCCTTCACATTACCTTGCGACCGTTACAGCGCCATTCTTAGGAGCTGTGACAGACTCTGAAATCACAAAAACAGACAGGCCTGGAGCTCATGGTGACTGGTGTGTAGCATTGCCAGTGAATGACAATCCAGTTAAGTCCAAGATAGACAGAGAATTTCTCACAATCACTCTCAGACAGAAGAAGTAGTCATTCGGGTGACGTGCGCCATTTTCCCAAAGCCTCCTGGGAAGAAATGTCAATAAGAAAATAGAACATGTCACAAAAGCACCGATAGAAGTTAGTGAGACCCCTGCAGCTGTTTGAGGCTAGTTGGTTGCAGCCACTGAGCAACAGCTTGAACCTTCTGTGAATCCATGGGTAAACCATAGGAGAGTGTGGCAGGGGGGTGGTCTCTGGCCTGCTGGCAGTGGAGGGGTGGCGCGGTGAGACCAGTGACTCTCTTCTTATGTATAGTGTTGGCAGAAACTGGCGGGGAAGTGTGTGCAGTGGAGGACGCTGCGAGACGAGCAGACTCCTGGCTCGAGTTGTGCCTAAAAGAGCTGTTGAACAAAATAAAGGAACCCAAACACGCCGATATGCACTGTCGGTCCGATCATTGCCACAAAGAGTTAATGAAGCCGAAGAAGGGGGTGGAGCTTTGATGGCGGGCACATTTCTCCAGCTCACAGACTAGCTGGTGTTCGAACTGTCTGTTAAGCACCACCCTAAGATGACTAACATGGTCTTCTTGGGACCAGAGTAGATCAAAATGTTTGGAATGCTGACCGGTTCCAAAAAGAGAGACCACATCACTCCGGTCCTCTGCTCTCTCCACTGGCTCCAGTTGCTTTTAGGATTGATTTTAAAATTTTACTGCTGGTTTTTAAGGTTCTTAACGGTACTGCACCTCCTTACCTGGCAGAGCTTCTTAGCATTTACCGCCCCAGGAGATCTTTGAGGTCAGCAGACCTGATGCTTTTAGATGTTCCCAGGTACAGACTAAAGACTAGGGGAGAGAGGGCTTTTGCTGTGGCTGCACCCAGACTGTGGAACAGTTTACCTCCTCACATCAGATTCTCCACAAGCCTAGGAACTTTTAAAACTGCTCTTAAAACTCACCTCTTCTCATTGGCTTTTAGCAAGGTTTAACTTATTGTTTTAATTTATTGTTTTATCAGTGAGGTGTTTTATGTACTTGTGTTTTATTGTATTTTATATTTGTATTTTATTGTACAGCACTTTGGTCAGCCTCGGTTGTTTTTAAATGTGCTTTATAAATAAACTTGACTTGACAAATATGCCAACGGCCACCAGCCTAGCTTGTCACGAAAGACATTGTTAATCAGATGTTGCAAGACAGCAGGGTATTAAATCCAGTTCTTTGTATTCTTTACAGCAAAGAAAGACACGGCTCAAAGTGGTCAAAGCTCAAAAAACGATCTTTCATTTGACATATTCCAGAATACGGAGACTGTTTTCACCCCCTCTACGGGTAACATATATCCGGTCTTAACTGTCATGGTCCTGAGTCTGAGGACTCAGTGTTTTGTGTTTCCTTATGCTTTTGTTTATTCCGAGTGTGTTTTCTGTTGTGATTTTGCCATTTGTTAGGTTTTTGTTCTTTGCCTGCCTGATCCCACTTCTCTGTGTTCCCTCTGTCTGTCCATGGTGTTATTGTGTCTGCTCAGGAGTCTGCCTGTCAAGTTCAGTGTCCTGTCTGGTTCTCTGTGTCTGTTAGTTTCCTGTTTTATTCTGAAGGTTCATGTCTGATGTGAGTGTGTTCAGTTTACATTTCCCCTGTCCCGTCAGCTCTGATTTCTCCCAGCTGTGTTGCCCTCCTGTCTCTCATCCCCTGATTACTGGTGTGTGTATTTAAGCCCTGTGTGTTCTCCTGCCTGTTGCCGGTTCGTCTGTATTACTCAGTGTCAGTCTGTGTATCCACCGTGTCTTCTCCCTGCTGTTCATCGTCATCCTCCTCTGCTCGTTTTTCATTCAGGTTTGTGCTCTGTAGTTTAGTCGTTTCCCAGTTTAGTTTAGTTCGAGCCCCGTTTGCTGTTTGTTCACATTCTTTTGTGTTCAATAAATCACCTTCACTCCTCTACGACTGCTTGCGCTTGGATCCTCATTTATTCCACACGGCTCGCCTCGGCAGCCGTGACATTAACACTATTCTTGGGCAATTTAAATAACATAGAAATCCTGCAAACTATTCCTAAAGTCCTTCTCATTACTCTTCATTACTTTTATGCTCACATTTAACGTGTGTCCAACGAGCTTTTAGTCTCCTAAGCAACATTTCCTGGAGCTGTGGTTCTCTGTGCTTCTTGTGAGTTCCCCTTTCTGATGGTTGGTTTCTGGATTCTCACCAACCCCTCCGTGGTTTCGCTCTGGTTCTGGAATCTTCTCCTGTAAAGTCAGAAAACAAAACGCCTCCCTCTGCTACGCCTCAATAATCTACTGTGTTCATCTAATTATTCAAAGTTGGTTCAAAATATCCCGTTCTGGGCTCTATCCTTTATATTAACTTTACTTAATCTCAATGCTCTTTATGTGTGTGAGCAACACTTTTAATTGTATTAAACCCACCCAGGGTCAGATATACACCATCACCATATCAGCATAAATCTCCACTAGAAAGCACACTCCAAAATTTTTGTCTATCAGGGTTTACGCCCCTTTTTGCTTCAAGCAGATACATAACGTGCAAAAGTTACAGCTAATGACAGTTAGATAAGTTTCCGTTATCTGCAACATTTTGTTTCAGCCGTCGCACCCCAACACGTTTCCTGTTGACTTATTCATGGCTTATCTTTAACACCTTCTGCATCACTAGTTGCTAAGCAAAGACAAAGCAAGACGTGTTCCACCTTTACCCTAGAAAATCAATCTATGTGATGTTTGTGTGTGTAAGCCTGTTATGCATCCATTCACTACACTCCACGCCATCCCTGCAGCATATCAGTTCGGACGGTCACGCTGAACGAAGCTTTTGACCTTCTTAGGGCTGAGTTACAACTCATATGAGCACGATTGCAATATGTGTGTAAAACATCATTTATATACTCTTCAATGTTTAACCTTTGCCACCCTCATAAGACATAGGTGTTTCCTGTTTTTGGCTCGCTCCTCTCTTATCCGTTCATGGACTACAGTTCAGCATTCAGCACAATAATTCCCTCAAAGCTTTTCACATGAAGGATCTAGGACTCAGCTCATCACTGTGTCAGTGGATCCTCGACTTCCTCACAGACGGACCCCAATCTGTAAGGGTGGGAGAACAAGTCTCCCCCTCCATCCCACTCAGCACTGGAGTGTCTCAGGGCTGTGTTTTAAGCCCCCTGCTGTACTCACTGTACACTTATGACTGTGTAGCCACATCAGACACCACCTCCATTGTCAAGTTTGCTGACCACACCGTTGTGGTGTGCCTGGTCTCTGACACCACCGAGAAGGCCGACCTGGAGGAGATGAGGATCCTGAAGAACTGGTGCCAGGAGAACAACCTCCTCCTAAACATCAGCAGAGCTGATCGCGGTCTTCGCTACAAAACAGGTGAGTCCCTAATCATCAGTGGCGCACCAGTGGAGAGAGTGGACAGCTCCCAGTACCTGGGTGTCCACATCACTCAGGACCTGTCATGGTCCTGTCACATTAACACCCTGGTTAAGAAAACCTGTCAGCGTCTCGGTACATATAGGGGGTCATAGGGGTGAGCGGGGGTAGGTTAGAGTGTATCTCCGAACCTCGGAGAGATCATGGAAGACTTGAGGAATCTTCTCCAGATCAATGGGCTCTGAAGGGGGTAGTTTTGCGGGATCCATTCTGGTCTCAGGGTTGAAACAGCTTTGTAAACAGCCCCAGCCCAGGATCTGACACGATGACCAGGAGATATGGGGGTTGTGCCGACAGAACCAGGGATAGCCCAGGATGGGCGTGCGTATGGGCTGCGTTTGGTACTGGAGCAGGTAGGGTTGAAGAGGGGCCTGAAAACTGAAGGCTCTGCCTCCCATTCTACTTTTAAATACTCTAGGAACAACAAGTAGGCCTGCAGAGCGAGAGCGAAGTGCTCTAATAGGGTGATATGGTACTACAAGGTCATTAAGATAAGATGGGGCCTGATTATTTAAGAGCTTGTATGTGAGGAGCAGGATTTTGAATTCAATTCTGGATTTAACAGGAAGCCAAAACAGGAGAAATCTGCTCTCTCTTTCTAGTCCCTGTCAGGACTCTTGCTGCAGCATTTTGGATCAGCTGAAGGCTTTAAGGGAGTTTTTAGGACATCCTGATAATAATGAATTACAGTCGTCCAGCCTGGAAGTAATAAATGCATGAACTAGTTTTTCAGCGTCACTCTGAGACAGGATATTTCTAACTTTAGAGATGTTGCACAAATGGAAGAAAGCAGTCTTACATATTTGTTTAATATGTGCGTTGAAGGACATGTCCTGGTCAAACATGACTCCAAGGTTCCTCACAGTGTTACTGGAGGCCAAGGTAATGCCAAATGTATTCTGCAGCAGGACAACGACCCCAAACACACAGCCAAAGTCATTAAGAACTATCTTCAGCGTAAAGAAGAACAAGAAGTACTGGAAGTGATGCTCTGGCCCCCACAGAGCCCTGATCTCAACATCATTGTGTGTGTCTGGGATTACATGAAGGATGTGAGGAAGCCTACATCCACAGAAGATCTGTGCTTAGTTCTCTGAGATGTTTGGATCAACTCACCAGCCGAGTTTCTTCAAAAACTGTGTGCAAATGTACTTAGAAGAAGGCAAAGGGTGGTCACACCAGGTACTGGTTTGATTTAGATTTCTCTTTTGTTCATTTACTGCATTTTGTTGACTGATGAAAATACACGATGAACACTTCCATTATTGAAAGCATTCTTTGTTTACAGCTTTTCTTTCTCACCTGCCTAAAACTTTTGCCCAGTACTGTAAATTTAGAGTGTGTGAAAGATTTTCAGTGTCCTGTATAAAAGTGTGTGGACGTGTGGGTTTCAGCATGAAGAAATCTGTTGTCAGAGGTAATTCTAGGTAACATATCCTCATATTTTACTTTCTTTTAAAAGAATTTCCAAGGAAGAAGGAATAAAAAAAACCTGACTTTCTTGATGTCCCCATCTCCCCTCCCATCACCCTTTGCTGCTATCAAACAGTATAAATGAGGCTCTGCTCTGTCGCTGCAGCACGTTCAGCATCTGATTCTCCCACTGACGTTTCTGCGTTCATAGCCGGTGAGTTACAGCTTTGTACATAAATGCAGCAGCTGTAAGAATGAATTTTGCCTGGGGTTCATAGCTGCAGGCATTTGATCTTTTGGTAAAATAAACTGAAATATGGTGCAGGCTCATTTACACGCATTAAAATTCACAGAGTTTCTGATTTGAACTGAAATCTGTAAAATGCCTCTTAAATGAAAATAACTGTAACTTCTGTCTTTTAGAATCATGAGTAAGAACTCCATCAGCACTGACCAGGAGCTGCGTAAAGGCGAGTCCCTCGTCAGTGTAAATGGAAACTTCAAAGCCATCCTACAGGTGGGAAAATGTGACCTTGTCCTCATCAGTTTATGATTACATGGCCCAAAAACACAGCTGGTAACATTAAAAGTTGACAGCTGGTCTTTAACGTGCAGATATAGAAAGAGATCAGCTTTACTGGCCACTTTTTCCTGGCTAGAAAACTTTTCTTTCTTTTCTAAAGCTTTAATGTACATAAAAACCAGCTTCTTGTTTAAGTGAAAATAAATGGAAGGTTGTCTTTTTGCGCTAGTAATGTTGTGTAGTTGTATTTTGTCTCACATCAATTATATCGTTATCACAAATTTTCAAATATATATCGTGATAAATATTTTTGGCCATATCGCCCTGCTCTAGCTCACAGTATAAACCTTCAAACTGATCCGCTCTCTTTGCTTCCACTTTGCAGGAAGATGGCAACTTTGTCGTCTACAAGTGGTCTCCTATCTGGGCCACAGCCACAAACGGCAAAAACCCTGCGCGGCTCCTCCTGCAGGGGGATTCCAACCTGGTCCTGTACACCCAGGACGATAAACCAGTTTGGAGCTCTGGAACCGTTAAACCCGACAACAGGACCATGCGCCTGACCCTGACCAACGATGGTCGTCTGGTTGTTACAAGGAATGGAGCACAAATCTGGTGCTCTTAAAGCTCACGATGTCATTCAGAGATCCAGACTAAAGGCGTGATGTCCTGAGAGCCGCGCGCTCTGTTTCACATCCGAATAAAAGCTCTGTGATGTTCCTGCTGTGTGTGTGTTACTGTCTCAGTCAGATGAACTCTCAGCACGTTATCATCGTCTGTTTAAAACAAGCGTCCAGTAAAGCTCACAGAATAGACGTAGTATTAAATCTGTGTTACCTGCTGACTGGAAAACGTCTGTTTCCAGGACAGCAACAAAAATCTAACTGTTCTCTGTGTGGACCCACAGCGGGCAGGTGTGGGCGGGGCCAACCTGCAGGCTCCAGGTGTGCGTGTGCTGACACATACAGGCAACTGAGAAGGAGTTCTGTGGGCTCATAGGAAGCTTTTAAAATCTCAAATCTGACCGTGTGGTGGCGTTGTCACCTGTACTGTAGATAACACAGGTGAGTTTTACAAATTTCTCTTCCATCCAGTCGGGGGAGCCAAACGTCTGCCTGTCAGAGCCCCTGAAACTCAGATGTGTGTCAGTGAATCTGCACGTCTTCTTGCTTTGGTCACATTTAGTTTCCAGAGGTTGTAAACACATGCGTCACTAACAGGTAACTTCCTGCACTGCTGAGATTAGTGTAACAGCAGCACCACATGTGGTGGATGTTTCTGAGGCCGTGCGCACCATCCCTGCAGGAGGTGACATCATCCTCCTTCTTGTTTCTGTCTTCCTGAAAAGGACACACACGGTATCACACACATGTGATCACACACATGTGATCAGTCATGACAGCTCAGAGCTCAGCGTTCACAAGTGTGATTTGATTGATTTCACACAATAAACTGAACTGGTGGATTCGTGCAGTCATGTAGATCAGACTACAGCAGCACTACAACCTGCCTCTCACAGGTAGTTTTTCACAGACATGAAACTTTTAGTTTCCTGTGTAAATCTGCTGACGGCTCATGAAGTCCCCGGGCCTCAAAGATTCTGCAAAAACAATAAAAACCTCCCAATCAGGACGCAATGGGTCTGTGAGGAAGGTCTGTGACTGACGAGCTTCACAGTCAGAAGGCGAAGCTTTGCACGGCTTCATGAGACACATGAAGGTTACTGCAGATGAAAAACAGCTGAGTGTGGGGGGCAGGTGGGAGTTTTAATGACGTGTTTCGCTCGTCAGCCTGAACACTTTGAGTTCATCAGGTTTCATCAGCACCTGAAATGATTTCACTCTCATTTTGTTCCAAAGTTAAAAATGTTTCTGGAAGGACAAAACCACAGAAGAAGAGTCCAGATGTGCACAGGTGGGTGTCAGACTTACACAGGTAAACGTGCACAGCTAACAAACCAGGAGAGAGAGTCCATGAAGACCTCATCACAAGCTGGTTCTCTGATTGGCTGGCTGTCCATTTAGGTCTTCCACAGCAGACACGCTGCAGTGTTCGCTCTGTGTCCATTAAACCAGCTGAAGTGGCGCTCTAAGGACTGATGGTGTCATTCAGAGAAGCATTGCTGTGGCTTCCTGCTGTTTCCATCTTTTAAATACAGTCTGTGGAAATCTGTTGATTTCTGGAAGCTTCAGTGTCACTATGGAAACGGCTACAGCATGGTAGAGAGTCAAAGGTTAATAATAAGTATTGATTGCATGCACAGTGGTGAATGAAGAAAAAACACTGAGTGCATCATGTGTAGGCTGGGTCAGGGTCACCTGTCCCAACTACATGCTTTATCAAAAGGGAACGTTTCCATCTGAAAAGCAGCCTGTTGTGCTGCATGAGTTTCTTCTTCATCCCAGCAGAGGGCGTCATTTCTCTGCTGGGACAGAAGACAGGGAGAAATCAGCAGAAGCTTTCATCCTGATGGGCCGTGACGCTCAGCAGCAGCCGGCTGTGATCAGCCTGTGATCGATTTATTTATTGATGGCAAAAACTTTATACATTTTAATGATCGTAAGACGGAAGCGATCCTATTTGTTCCAAATCGTTTTTCTGACCCTCCAGATGTTGATCTTCCCGCTTTGACTTTACATTTAAAGAGTTCGATCACAAATCTCGGAGTAAAAATTGATTCTGCACTTGCCTTTGATGGTCACGTAAACGCGGTGGTGAAATCAGCATTCTGTCACCTCAGACGTTTAAGCCCTTTCTTTCCATGCCTGACTTGGAAATTGTTATTCACGCCTTTATTACTTCACGTTTGGATTGTTGCAATTCTCTTTTAATAGGGGTTGGGCAGGGCACTTTGTCACGCTTGCAACTAGTGCAAAATGCCGCGGCATGATTTTTAACTGGCAGAAGGAAATTCTACCACATGACTCCGGTTTTGGCCTCTTTACATTGGCTTCCAATTGAATCTAGGATCCGTTTTGGAGTCCTTTAATTGGTTTTTAAATCTCTAAATGGTCCTGCACCTGTTTATTTGTCTGATTTGTTGAATGTTGGGCTAGTTAATAGGTATGCCTTCATTGTCATCTGTTGGAATTTTATTTTGAAATGATGCTTCCTGTAATGCTACGGAGAGAGTTCACATTGGTGTGAATGTTCCGGTAAAAAGCCGATGCTCCACGTGTGAGTATTCCTCCGTCTAAATAATAAGTATCTTCAGCGTTCATCAATCAATCAATCTTTATTTATAAAGCACTTTTCATACAAAAAATGTAGTTAAACATAGTTAAAAGCAGCCCACCCCACCCTCCAACTCACTCCCCACACTCTCATTAACATAAATGATGTGAATACACACATATCCCCCC